AGATTGTAAAGTTTTACTGCTTTCAGTTTTTATTTGGCTTGTGCTTTCTTATTTTCTTCCCTACCACTCGCCAGTCTTGCCAGTGAGTATGTGCTCAAGTGACAAGAGAAAGGCAGGATGTGCACTCTTTGTACCCTCAAAGCAAATCTTATCAAGAGAAGCCACTCCTTCCTATCTTTTAAATTTCTAGGCTGGGAAATTCCACCTGGGTCTCTAAACAGCTATATTTATCAAATACAAATAAAGGGCTAGCATTTTTGGGGTCCCATTTCTGCTTCTCTGTCCTCTTTCCAGTCATTGAGATGTTGTGGTAAAGTAGAAAATCAAAAGTGATTCTGTTGAAGTAGAAATGCTGGAAGTGTTCTGCTTTGGTCCACAAAACAAAATGTTCCTAAGACAGCCATAAAATCAAGCCAGCTTTCAGGCAGTACAAAGAACTGGGTGTGGCATTTTTAGAAATACCTCTGTGCACGTTGTGGCTGTTGTAGTTGTAGAAGCTGTAATGGCCCCACTACAAAGGGCTAAAATAGGAGGAGCGTGGTGTCAACATTCAGGAGTTTTGTAGATTTCCATTGCCCCAGAGCATGGAAATGTGTGCAGCCATGCTGCAAGTGCATGTTAGAGGCGGGCAACATCCAAAGTTCAGACTAACTGCAGATGCAGAAGATAAAAGGGAAAATTGCCAATGTATGAGTCGGAATTTGGAACATTTAAGTAAACACAGAATAATATTCCTGCCTGTCTTCTGGCAAGCAGCTGTTACTGGGGACTGTCTGGAGAGCCTGCAAGCCTATCATGTGGAATACATTGCTTCTCTTGCAGCATCTCAAGTAAGCCAGAGTTTTGAGTCACTTTGTGGAATAATTCCAGTGAATTTCAGCTTTCCCTCCCATGTTTCCTTTTTTCTTCCTGAGACGAATGTGCCCTTACTCTTCCCTAAAAATACCATGTTCTCAACAACTCCATTCCTTCTCCACTCGGGCAGGAATAAGGCATTTGTACTCCCAGTTTACCAAATGAGTTAGTAAGCTATATCAAGTAGTTCTTAGCAATCACATTATTGTAACTCTTCACTCTGCTAGGATGCCTAGTTCCTTTTATTAAAAAAAACAATCCCAAAAAAAGCAATCTATTTTTGCAGTTGTTAATCTTTTATTAGCCAAATCAAGCACTTTGACTACTTTATTAAACCTATAAATATTTGAATGCACTGACATAAAATTATTTTCTATATTATTTCTAATTCTTTCTATATTCTATAATATAATAACCTGAAGATTTTGGTAATTGTTTTGCAATTTCAGTAAAGCAGAAATAAATACCATAGTTGTAGAAATGCCAAGTCTAGCAACCAAAGAACTTCAAGTGATCCTCTCTGAATTGTTGATACAATTCAATTATTGGTGAGTCATTGCTACAGACATGTCAGATCAAGTCCAGAAAAAAGAAACTCTTTAAAGGTTTTGCAGTGTAGTAATACTTGTCAGTTAGAAAAGAACTCAGTTGCTGTTCTATATATTCTTTTGTGGTTCAGTCTTAGAAAACCAGTTTTACTACTTACCCTTTTTTGCACTTACCATTTAGGATTTGTTCATTCATTCATAGCAGAAAGTTTGTTTCAACTTTGGTGAAATTCAACATGAATTCACTAGTCCATGACCTTTTAAATTACTAGACCAACATTTTGCTTTTTGTAGGCAGAGACTCAGAGACCCCGCTTTAAGCAGCAAACAGCAGTTCCTCACCACTGTTCTTTCAGAAAGCACTCAGCTTACATGCCACCCTACACAGGTGTCCTTTCCAGCAGGTATTCCTTTAAACAATCTTTATTATAACTGGGAACCAAATTAATTGATTAGCTGTTCCATCTTGTGGGATAGCTCTTACAGTTCCATAACGAAAAAAAATCTTGCTGTTGAGTTTTTGGCAATCTTCAGTTACTGTTAAGTAATATGAAGTCTTTTTCTCAATAACAAAAGGAAAAAAAAAAGACAAAATGAGAAAAAAATGAGCAAGAAACGGTTCTGTTAAAGTAATTGAACATAAGAAAGAAACATTTTTCCACATTAAATACAGAAAGTTTGGGTGAAGTTATTTCATTGTGAGTGCTGGCAAAAGCAGTTAAGATCCCTTCAACTCTATGTGTGAAATACACATTTGAGTCTTTCCTCACATTAAGAGTTCACTTGTATATTTACATCTTTCTACATATATATTTATAGAATCTTTGTCCCTTGGGCATCTAGTGCTAGTGAAAGTAATGGAAGCATAGGCCATAAGCCTTTCAGGTTTGATCTTATAAAGGATGCACTTGAAACTGCATTTGATGTAAATTGAGGTTTTATCTGCATACTGTGGAAACATGGCACGAGTGCTAAGCACCCCCTGAAAATCACAGGAAACAAGAATACTCACAATTTCACATTACCAGTTCCCTAATCTGATTTTTTGTAAAATAAAAATCTATCAGTAAATGAGTTGCCTGATCATAAAGGAGTTAGGTACTGCCTATAAGAAGTAAAGAAAATTTTTGTCTTCTCTTACTCTAATGCATTAATTCACATTTAATATCAATTTGACACTACAACAGTACACCCCTGCCAGCAACAGTGACTAAAAAATGGTTGCATATAAAATCTCCTGGCAACGTATAAAGTACTAGGTTTTTTTCTGGTGGCTGAATTTTGTTTAGAAAATAACTTGAAGTAAAAGCAGTAAATTCAGGTAGGCTGCCACCAAGCATTTGTATTTGGTTTAGATAGTTATTTTAAACATTTTAAAAACTACTGGTTTGTGGTCATCATTTTCCTCCCTTTTAAACACAAGTTTAGTTTTAGAATTTTCTGGGTCCCTGCATAAGTACAGAAAGCAAGTCACAGCTTGAAAAGCACAAACCATAAGCATTTAATGATTCTGCTTCTTTAGTGTGTTTCAGACTGTAAGCAGGGTGCCAAGGCACTCAGAAGTGTTCAGGGCTAGCTGTTGGGGTTCTCTGTTCTTAAACAGTTTTCAAGGTGTTTTGAAGTAAATGGAAACCTCTTCTGTTTCTGAATGAAAATGTCAACGTGGGACCTGCCAGGATGGAAATCTGCCATTACCTGTAGCACAGCAACACAGTGTGCATTTAGAGTGATAGAATTTCTTACACAAGGCCCAATCTGCATCAAAGTCTGGGTCACTTTTGGTCATTACAAATTGCTACATTAAAAAAAAAAAACCCAAACAACAAAAACAAAACTAAAAAAACCTGATGTAATTTGTAGATTTAGCCAACTCTCACTTTGTAAGTCTGCCATAGATTAAAAATGAGCCACGAGGACACATAGCAAACTCCTGAAAGCTACAGCTTGTTTTCATGGCTGTTCATGTGAACAGTACCTGCACTATTTCATAAATGATGAAGTTTCAGTGTCTTTCTCTGGGAGGAACTGCTGCAAAAAGCCAAGCAGCAATGAGCATAAAATTTAAGTATCTGCTTAAAAGTTGGATCTTCTGTCTTAAGAGTATACCTTCATATATTACTTATACAGTTCTTATAAAATAGCAGGTAATGGACAGGTGTTCTTTCCTGGACTCAAAGTGAAAACTTATGGAAGACAGGGTAGAAGTTGTGTGTTGCTGCTGCCCTTTATTTCTCTTGTTGTTTCATGATCTTTTTAAATGTATTTTTGTGTTGTTTTTTCTTTCCACAATTACAATTCACTTTTTCTTTTGCATTACATTTTCTTTAAAAACTCGCAATAGAAAATTTTAATCATTTTTTCTAGAGCTCTTCTGTACTGCATCACCTAGAATGATCCAACTTAATTAGTAAAGCCCAGAACAAAAAAAAAAATTTGCATTTAGAGTTACCATGCTTATGATGACAGTGAGGGTAGTGAGTTCTGCTTTGATGAGCTATGCTCCTGAGCCCATCTTTATTACCGTGAACTCTACAGCCTGTGTTTTGTTCTTGTGGGTGTTTTTTAATTTAAAATCCAAGCTTTCATTCTGCAGATTCTGAATATACCACACAGAACTCCAATGTATCAGATAGGCTGCACACAGTAATAAGGGTGAACAGCTGGGAGCTTTGGCTCAGGCTGAACAACTCCTGAAGCTTAACAGGGTCAGGCAGAGAATTGCTTGGATATACATATATATGTAAAAACATATAAAATGTATTAAAAATACAGTAAAATACATAATTTATTAGTATTTCTCTTTAAACCAAAACATACACAACCAGAAAACCTGAGTGATTTTATTTCTCACACAAAACCAAGAGAAGGATTTTGTCTAAGTGGTTTAATGGTAACACTACAATTTTCATACTACATACAAAATTTATCCTATGTCGTTTTACATACTTTGACTAATTAACAGTTTGTATTAGAGATGCCTTAAGCTTTACCTTTCATATTTTCCAGATTCTGTACTGCATTAGTATATAACTCTGAACTTCATATAAATTGTTAGCAAGTTCTCTTCACAGTTTCATTACACAAAACAATCCTTTTCCAGCCTGAGAACCAAGGACACCATTGCAGCTTCAGGCCCAAAAAGCATAAACAACAGTGAACTGAGGAGAGCAATCTGAGAGCACGGGACTTCATAACCTGAAGCTGTAATTGGACAATTAACCCCAGTATGTAAATGGACCAAAACTTAGAAAAGTGTGAAAGCATGTGACCTGTCATCCATCTTGGGTGGAGCCACAGCCAGGCTCTTGTACTGCCCAAGGTGTATCCTTTGAAGGCCTTTCTATAAATACCTACTTTATTCCTTTAACACTGTCTAGCCTTTGTTTTAGGTAGCCTCTTAAGGCATCATCAGAGTTGCATAGGTAAAACTATGTAAGACTGATCATAGCAGATGGTAGGTAATAGGTAAGTCCACATCTTTCTCCTTGATGTCCAGTATTTCAATCCTATCGCTGAAGAGAAGCAATAAATGCTGCATCTAGCATTAATGATGGGTTGGTGAATACATGAAAAGCAATGATAAACTACAGGCAAGTGTACAGTGTCACAAAGAAAAAAAGAAACAAGACTTTATCTAGTCGTACAAAATGTTAAGATTAAATTCAGCCAGAAAACCAGTAGTTGACTACTATGTACGGAATCCTTAAATAGCATCCAAAACCCTCTGTAGCTGGTGTTTATGGCTTAAATATATACAAAAGTTCTCCCTCCTTTTTTTACAAAAACACTTTCTGATTTATTTTATAGCATTAAGAATCACGATCTCTTGCAGTATCCTTAAATACTATCCAAAATTCTCTGTAGCTGGTGTTTATGGCTTAAATATATACAAAAGTTCTCCCTCTTTTTTTTACTAAACACTTCCTGCTTTTTTGTAAAGTATTAAGGATCATCATCTCTTGCAGTATCACATACCATTTGGTAAACATAACAACTGAATCTTCTATTAGGCTTCTGTTCTATATGCAGTACGAGGTCTTTGTCAAAGTAAACTTCATGACTGTAAGTCTGAAATGAGAAAAAAAAAAAGCTCAGGTTGCAGTCTCTATTTCCACAACTTGCTAAAACCTATCATTTTCCACAAGGAACAGAAAATACTTAACAGTGGTGAACTCCATGATCAGGCAGAAATTTTGTGTGGATACACAGAGATTACTCTTCCAGATAAAGGACAGAATTTCATAACTTTCGAGAGGTTTCTCACATCCCTATTTTAGGAATCTAAATTCAGAGCATCTGATTTAAGATCACAAGTTGCCTATGCAGTCAATGATAAAAGAGGTGTAACAGTGCTGAAAATTTCAGACCATCTAAGCTGGATGTCCACCTAAACTTGGACTGATGAACAGCCCATTCCATCTTCCCAAATATATATACAATGAGGGCTGTGCTTCTTTTTATGCATGAGTACTTCAAGTTAAACAAGGGAGAGTCTTTACAAGTTGAAAAGTTAGTCTGACATAACTAGCCACAAAGTATTTAAGTTGATAAATACTTCAGAAATACATTAAGGACAACCCTTTCCCCAAACAAAAAATCCCCAAACAAAACAACCAAAAAAACCTCCCACAATCATGGTTTCAAATAATGGGAGATCTTCAGGTGAATTAACTACTGTCTGATGGAGTACTTAAAATTTTAGAGTTGTAATTGTTATTTTATGCAAATCTCCTCCCTTTGCTACTTATATACCTGCTTAAAATCTGAACAGAAGTGGTATGTGAATGAGTATGGGGAAGAGACAATGGGAACAAAAGACAAGAATTTTCCTCACCACATCCCAGGACTCCTTTAATGGAATACTCTTAAGTAGAATCCCATGTTCATTGCAATGAAAGTCAAGGTGAGCTCTTCCATCAGCTCCTATCTGAGTAACTGCCACAGTGGATAGTAAATCCAGTTCATCTTCATAGTCCACAATTTTGAATGTCTTAGGAAAAACAAACCTCAAGTTAACAAATCAAACACCAATTTGCATTCCCCTCTACCTAAACTGCATAGCTGTTTTTTCTTCTTGTGAAAGTAGTACTGGGCAAATTCTAGTTCTTAAGTTTCTTTTCTTTCTCATCCAAAAGAAAACTTTGGGAGCCTGATACCCAACAGGCGTTTTTCCCAACTTGAGTTGTCAGGGTATTTCAGCAAAATTCCTTAAGCAGGAGAAAAGAAGTGATGTTCTGAAAAATCCTAATGTGCAAGTACACATATTTTATATGTAGCATATAAGAAGTATAAAACAAGTACTTCTGAAGTGGCCAAGGAGTATATTTAGGCTCTTGAAGCAGAGATGTTAATAGACATCATGTAGCTTTAAACCATCATTGGTTTTGAGGGAATGAATACATTAGAGTAATGCCATGAATATCTGTATGTTCTGTTCAGATATCTCTCTTGCTCCACAGATTATAGGTCAGTGAAGAACTGACACCAAAATATGTGAATGAAGATTGTGAATGACGTTAATTGCCTTTATCTCACTGTGACATACTCTAAATTCAAGACAGTCCTTTTCTTCTATAATGTAAAAACATTTACTGGAATCATAAGTGTAACAACAGGAAAAAAAATAGAGTGCAATTACTTTTATTATGGTTAAAAGAAAAAGTGAATAGAAATAAACTGCAGACCCTTAAGGGTTACACTGGACTGTGCTGTATTTTTACCATAGTAAAATCTATTTCCTCAGAATAAAGAATAGGAGTGACTGCCAGAAACTGATGAATTTTACCTGTTGTACTTATGTCAATTACAGATCCAGCTCTAGAGAGTTAAAAAAGATTTTTCATAACCTTTTAAGACCCAAGTGGTGTTTTCAATCTCAAGAAGCAGTTACTTAAGGGAAAAGGGCTAAATACCTAATCCTACAATCCATTCAAAGTAACTGAGAGAGAAAAATGAAGTTGAGAGACACTATAAAAAAGACAAGAGGATCCTAAAGCAGATGAAAAGAAAAACTTTCATTTCATAAAATGCTTTATAAGAAATGTTCAAAGTAGATATTTAAATGGAGAAAAGAGTAATGGTTTGTCACATTAACATATCTTTTCTGTGCCATTGAAGTCACATGGAATTATGTTAAGGTGGGGCGTAAGATCAGTTCTTGAAAGAAAGAAAAAATAAAAAGCTCAATGTTGACCAAGGAGAAAAGATGATAAAAAGTATGTGAAGCAATTGGAAGAAGACAAACAGAAGAGGAATAAAGAACTCAAGGATATAGACAGCTAATGGTTACACCCACTGAAACCATGGTGGTTTCAGGGCGTAACCAACAGTGAATGGTCACGCCCCTGGAACAAGAAGGGCTTCTGGCTACCCAAACACTGAAACAGTGCATGAAGTGCTCTCACTTCAGTTACCTCTTGTTCCGGGTCATCATCCAGCAAGGTGAACCGCTTCTTCACCACTCGACCAGAAGCTGTTACAGTAACATTGTTGTTCACCTTTGGAGAAACATAAAAAAGAAGTGTCTCTAGACTTCAGAGCAATGTGTTTCCATCCATCTGACAATGTATCTGTTCCATACATTTTGCCTTCTGACCTTGTTGTACTCATTAGCTACGCACAGCCCTGGTGCTGCTGTTCTCTTTATGAGTTCATGAACTTGGGGACTTTACCTGAGATATTACTGCTGTTTACTCACATTCAGAGGTGGCCCACAGAGATGGCAAAGGTTCTCAAGCTACCATAATTTAGAACAGAAGTGACTAGAACCAAGATGCTGGAATGAGAATTAAGACTGCTAAATCACCACTGATTTTTCCTAAACTCTTAATTCCAGAAGATGGGAGAAGTAGCATCGTAAACCACCATGGCTGCTTCCACTGGGCTTCATTAACTCCAGAAATATTAAAAAATAGATTATCAGTGTCTCAATAGAAGTCAAAAGGAACAACCACAGCATAGGCAGGATTAGAACTCATATTTCTTTCTTCTCACTGGAACAGAAGTTACCTACACAACTCTCAAAAAGCAGTATGGCAAGTTATAAGAAGACAACTGGCGTTTAGTTTTTTAATTCAATACAAGTTTTGTTCTTGAGTTTGTGAAGATTTTTAATACACAAACCTTTTTTTCCACAAAAGCTTAAAAATTAGCATCACAAATTTGCACATTTTACAGTATTCAAACTATAAAAACTTGCTTTTAGGCAAGACATAACCTTGTCTGCTGAATCAAAATGACAGTTCCAGGCACTACCTAGAATTTTTTTCATGTGTACTCTTTAACCTTTTTGACATTAGATTGTCTTAGTGATTCCATATCACAAAAGACTTCATGAAACAACTGAGGTGATTAGAGAGCTCAGTTCTACCAATAGTTTTAAATCATCCTCTCACACTTGGTTCTACCCTTCTGATCCACTGATGACTCAGTCCTGTTCTGCTTCAGTTCAGCAAAACAAGCAAGCAGAAAGTACTCACCTTTTCTGCCAAGTTATTCTGTTATTTTAGAGCACTGATTTGGCTCACCAGGGGTTAGATGAATGCCAAACTTGGCACAAGAGAATGACAGGCATGCATGGCCAGGAAAAGGAATGGACTTTTGGAAGCAATGTAGTGTCTTTGTTGTCTTATGAAGACTTACCCCTAAGTTATGATAGACTTGAAACTTTTCTAGCATTTGTATGATCAACTTACCTGAGCACCAGAGATGCACATAATTATCACTTGGTGGCACCTTCATTTGAATGAAATCTGTCACCATCTTTTAAGTATGTTTTATATCCATGATACATGGTTACACTGCACACCTTAAAGAAAACTGAAATCTAAAGAAAAGACTGAAGGTTTCAGAAATCTATCCTGAAAGTGTTATTGTTTTCAAAATTCTTTTCATAATGCTTGAAGTCCAGTGAAGACAGAACATGTCTTTCAATAAACCTTGGATAAAGCTCATAAAACACAGTGTTAACTCAAATATGCAAACCCCCTGTTTATAGCTCAAAATCCACATTGTGATCTCAGACACTAAACTCACACAGTTTTCTCTGTTGGCTACAATCGTAAAATCTTCTGCAATCTCCATCTGATCTGCATGATTCTTAACTTCCTTAAGCTTTAAGACTCTACAAAAGAAACAAATTACAAATTAAGTCATGTATTCTAATCTGCTTACTACAACATTTCTATATAATTTTTTTAAATCTAGTACATTAAAACATTGTAAATAAATAAATAAAATGGAAATTACTTATTTTGATAATTTATGTTTATCTGTGGAATTTTGATACAGTGGTCCTTGAGCATTTTTCGTACCAAAACCTAAAATGTACCCTCTAGTGCTCCCATTCATCACACCAAAATCTGCAGATGTTTCTAGAAGAATGTTTGATTCTGACAAAGTAATGGATTTTATAGTTTCTATAGTCTGATGAGTGTTTGGGCCTGCAAATCATCAGACTGCTAAATTTATGCAGTTATGCAACTTCTCTAATGAATAAAAGATTTGAGTAAAAAAGGCTCATACTTTATCAAATTTGGTCCCACGTGGATTATTCTACCTGACATATCTGGATGGAAGTATATCCAGTCAGGTTCAAGTGAACAGCATTTCATATCCTGTACGCCATTTTTTGCCTGAAGAAGAAAAGGAAAACTTAGAATATTAGTATTTTGAAAGTCTCACAGATGTAATTAAAGAGGAAATACTGAGCTCCTCACTATATACCTCTGGAGGTTTAGATGTATTGCTCCTAAACATGACCAGAAAGGATGCCAGTGGAAAAAAAACCAACAACAACAGTAATAAAAAAACTCAGTTCCAATTCTCAAGATATTCAGTGAAGTCGTTTTGAGATTTTTAATATGCAATAAGCAATAACCTTGCACCCTAGCTATATATTGTCCTATCTCTCCTGAAAGTAAGCAGAATGAAGATCTAACCTACACTGTGCAAACACTTCAACAATTCCAGCTATTTGAGTATCCACATGCAACAAACATTAGCACGGAGTTCGACTTGAGCTTCAACTCTCAGGCTTAGCCTCTTCTGTGCAAATGACCTGTGGAGCATGTAAGCCTGGAATACCTTGTGATTTCAGCAATCACAGGCAAGCCAGTCAAATCTCGGGACTTTAGCAGTGGCTTTCTGTTATTAAATTTAGCTGACATCCTTCATTCAAACTGCCAAATACATGAACCCACATAGAAAAAAAACAGATGAGAAAGGATTCTGTAAATCCATTTGAATCAAAATTGATCTTTAGCTACAATTGTGGAACATCAGTTTTGAAAATAAGGAGAGAAAATAATTGATCAGGCAAGCAGAAGAGATAAGGACGTTTACAGATGAGACTTATTTAATCAAGAAACTCTTAACAGGCCCAGAAGTTGCTTGAAATACAGAATGATCTTCAGGTCAATTCCACATTCAAAATAAAAGTGGAGATGGACACCTCACAAAAAATAGTATTCAGATGATAAATAGTACATAAACAAAAATAATTAGGAACAGATTAAACTAACTAATAAAACCTTTATAGGGACAGAAGGGGATTAAGCTGAGCAATCGAATCTTTTTTAGGGAGAAAAGGAAGGTACAAGTCAAAGGTAAACTACAAACATTAAGGACATTTATTCTGCAATATCATAAAATTTAAAATAATTCTGCAGTCAGTATTTAGTAGCTGACTAGTCAGAAGTGCATTAGGATGTTACCATGCAAGGAAACAGGTAATGAGACTTTTAAGTCATGATACAGTGCTGTGTAGCTCTGACTGCACCACTGTTGTATTGGAATGAAGGAAATATGAGAAGCACTGATTCAGAAGAAAGCATTTTACATATGACTCCATGGGATAGCTAATTTGATACTGGAGTGAGCCTGTGAAAGCACTGCACTTGTAAACAAAGGTATTATAACCTACTCAGAATAAGAGATGAAGACAAACATAACACACATTCATTTCAGAGAAGCTGTTTTCTGAATGTATTACCAAAGCATTGTCTTTCAGAGAACAAATATGGAAGACTCCTTTATGTTTTTTCTTGTTTGGTGTGATGATATAATGCCAAGGGTAACCTCCAATTTGAAATGCATTCTCCAGAGAAGATGCTTCAAATAGCAAAGGTGGGGTATCTGCAAATATTCAGTAATGTTGTTAACACCATTAGTAGCAGAACAGTCATCATTCCATTGATGCTTGCAATTCTAAATTCCAATAAAGCTACTAATTCTTCAGAACTTTTGAGGATTGGTGGAAACACATTGGCTATTAACTCTTTTCCAGTGCCAGCTATGCTACCTCAGCCAGCACCCAGGTGCACATCTGAAGTTCCCTCTTCTTCCTTCCCTCCCTCCCTTCTCGGATCTTGATGCTGAATACTCTTCTAGTACCTTTCACTTACAAGCAAAGCAGCAGCAAATAATTAAAATTATTCCAGCTCATGTGATTCAGAAAGGATGCACACATGAACAGACCAAAGACCATAACAAGATGGTCACTATTCTCTTGAGAAAAGCAGTGATAAATAACTGGAAACAGCAAGCAGCAACCTCAAATAACAGAATTAAATGCAGGAAGATAGAATATTCAGATTCTGCTTTCTCCTTTTGTGTAATGCAACAAAATAGTGTGGACCACAATGGATGCATTCTGTAGCTGAGTTCATAAAAATCAATCAAAATATAGAACTTTTAGCAATTAATGGCAAAAGGTATCTAGTTTTCCTTTCAGTTCAGTTGGAATAAATTACTGAGATGTACTAGGCCATTAGTACAAATGTTCTTTTTACTAAATGAGAGGTATTTACAACTTCTGCCAACTAGCTAAATTAAAGCAATTTCTACAGCTGCTATAACTGAATCAATTTTAGACTGAAGACCAGGTCTTTCTAACAGTAAAGAGAAAAGCTGGGGAAAAAACGGACAAAATGTGGAGAAAATCCGCAATTACGAGGGGAATTTAAACAGGCAGAATATAAAAACCCAAACTCAATTAGTGCAAGGAGAACAAGATTTTTATCTGGACCCAAAGGTCTTATCCAAATTTTGACTTGTTCTTTTCCTGCTGTGCCTAGATAATTCTCCTAACGTCAATGGTGCTATCACACGACATCACATATTATGTTTATGGAGTGCTTCCTTCCTCTTCCTTTGTTCATGTTTCCATCAATTTAGCCATTTGGATTGAATGGAATTAGTTCACTGCCAATGGAGATGAAGTCTTTCCTAAGCTGGAAAGTGGCTGTTTCCCATTTGCTTTTTGGAGTGACACATAAGAAATGGGAGATTCTGTGCAAGAGATAAACTATATGTTATAAAAAACTTATGCATGTGCTGGAAATGTAGAGAATGTTGAAGATGGAAGCATAAGCAAAGGAACTACTGATACTAAAATCCGTCAGGAAATGAAAAATGAGTTAAGAAAGTTTGTGACATTTTACCCAAACAACTTTTTAAATGAAGCTTATATATCAAGGTCCCTCAAAATTCTGGTAGATGGACTAAATTATATATTATAATTATACAATTAAATGTATCTCAACAGTATATCAATACTGAGTAGTAGAGGGTGCTTTAATATATGCCTTTCCTATCATGGTTTCCACCTAAACCACTGTGATAATGTGATTCTGCTGCCTCAGCTCCATCATTCCCACTTGTATGTCACTTGCTCTTGTTGCTGAACACCTCTTGTTTTATTGTTTGCAAGTCTTTTGCCAAGTCTTGCCAGTTTTCACTCTCTAGTTGAGCTTCTTTGTTTACTTACTTTAATCTCTGCAAACTTCTCTAAAAGCTGTTCCTGGCAGCACTAACAAGTGTTATACATGCAAATAAAAAACCAAAGAAATAACAAGAAAAGGTTGTTTCAAAGTATCCTTCTCCTTGCTTTTTTTTTTTCTGAACTTACTGTATCAGTTAACCATAAATCAAACTACAGTTTTAAGTTCTGGGCCATTCAGAAAATCACACACTATGACTGACCAAAATCAATTCCTCCCCAGCAGTTCAGTACTTCTTAGCTTGTAAGTTTAGACACTTGGGGGTACCTCACACCATAAACCAGTATTGTAATAATGCCCATCCCTTCAGGCAATTTCTGTAGGGAGGCTAGGACTTAAGTAAGAAAGAAGACTACACACAGTTAAATTATAGTAAATACAAGCCTGCACTCTGAAACTGCTAAGATCTTGCTCACTGAAGCATTTGCCCATTTCAGTCTTGAAAGAAAAAAACTCAAAAATCACAAGAATGAAACCATTTGCAAAAGCAAGCATGAAAATGTACGTAGTGCGTTCAAAACTTCCTAACCACAAATTCCTGAATATGATTAACGATCAAAAAGGTGTTCTCCAGTACACTGGTTTAAAATCTCAAAACTAAAAACTATAATGGTCTATAAGCCATGAGATCAAATCTTCCTATTAAAGTTCCCACAGCAGGTTTTCCACAGGTCCCTCACATTAAATGGTGCTTTCACAGATTGAGATGGAGACAAAAAATGGGGGAAGATTTCCATTTGCAAAAACTGAGACATCAAATACAGCAGCCTATAGTTTTGTTTTGATAAAACATTGCATTATAACCTCACTATATAAATCTGTACTTTATCTTTTATCTTTATCCCTCATTTTTATATACATCTGGATTGATTTGTCTCTTATTATCTGACACTCTGGAAAAAAAAAAGAAGACATTTTTATGTGGAGAATCACCTAAAAAAACATTTAGTACAGAACATTCACAAATGAATAAATAAATAAATGCATTCCTTAATGTTTGTGAAACCAACCTTTTGAATTTTTTTTAGATGCCTCAAGTGTAAGCTTGTGAGAATGTAAGCTTGTGAGAATGTATTTTTAAACTAAGAAAAGAAATTTCAAAAGAAGTCTTGGGCTTTGCTCATTCATCAAGATTCTTAGCACCAAATTCTAATCTCAAATGCACCAACAGAAGCCATTGTTTGCTTTTAAAGAAAGAAATCATTACATAATGCAGAACATTGATAAGTTAATGATTTGAGGCATTATTATTGTTTTTAATAATTTGTTCTCTTCTCAGGAATTCCTTTTACTGAAATCGGCACATTTCTGACAACCTAGAATATCAAAATGCCAATCAGACAAATTGTATTCAGTCTCATTGAATTTCCTCTGCAAGTCAGTGTTCTCACATCTTTTGCTTACATACCATATTCTGTTTCTGGGTGCTACTAACAGATATCCTAGTCCTTCCTCTTTCCCAAGAGCAATTGCATCTCAGAAATAAAGAGAGGGGTTTTCATTTCATGTATTGCTAATAAAGCTTTTCAGACAGCTTAGTTGCTCTAACAGTTTTCTTGGTGTGTTACATATAATTACTGTAATTAGAAGTAAAGGGAAGCACATTTTACTATAATGTAAGTCCAGAAGTACACTACAGCACAGTATGAGCACAGTAATTTTAGTATTTTTTCTTAGTGTGAAATAAGCCACAATCAATCCATAAAAGGAACAGTCAAGCCAATACAAAGGTCATAATTACCTGTTATTTTAATGTTACATGGAAGACCATATGGAAACCTTCCTACAGATCCCACCTGACCATTCCAGTTGAATTCTTGTCCCAACTCAAATGGTTGTTCCATGAACTAAAATAATAGAGAACAATTTAGCTTTACAGATGCATATTTACTTGCTGTTTAGTTTTATTCTCTATTATTACTGCATTCTTTATCTTGTTAGATACTGCTTGAGGTCTTATTTTTGAATTAATGTTTGATTTTTGATTGGAAGGATATAAACTCACATGTCTAACCTCAATTCTGTTTGAGATCAAACTTTCCCAAGCCCACCAGTTCCTGGCCTTAACAATCATCTGTAACTACAGACTAGGTGTGCAGAGAGCAGCACATCTGGTGTAACATTGATGTAACTCCCCAGAAGTGCCCATCTGACACTGTATCTCATGTTTTGCCACCTGTAACTGTTGCAAATAATTTTTCTGATAGTGTGTCCATTTTTATCTTCTGACTGTAAACAGATCTAGGCAGGAACCCATATACCACATGTACTTATGTAGAGTACGTGAATATTTATGACTTGTTACCCAATAATAGCAGGGATTGTATGAAAACTCTTTACTTCATTACCTGTTCCAAAATGGCCTTGAAGTTATAGAGTCTGACCAGACCCATGCTATACATTACAATCAGGATTCCATTAGAAACAGCAACATCTGTCACACTATTACCAAAAATCTGGAATAAAATTAAGCAAAAAATATTCTATTAGAGAAAAAATAATTGAGAGAAAACACAAATAACTGACATTATGTCCTTAATTTTTCAATCAATTTTTTTTTTATTCTGACTAAACTTTATGATCAGTGTTCAAGTTTTCTGTAACTCATCTGTTCTGCTGAGTTTCTTTAATCCATCGCTCTGCAGTAACACCTGAAGTTACAGTAGTCATATTCTGCAAGCAGATTCATGCTCTAATCAATTCTCAGTATATCTTCATTATCATGCCACCCAGTTATTATCATACATGAATAGATAATATTATTCAGCATCCCACGTTAGCAAAACTTAGGAACTCTATCTAAAAGTCCTAATTTCAGATCTTCTGTTCATTCTTCATCCCCAGTGTAAAATACTAGTCTAATCACAACTCTATGACTGCATACAGCTGTACTAAAACTACAGTATCCAGCTGTCAGAGTACAGAGTTCTCTCTGAATCCAAATTAGACATATACACGAGAAGTTGACTTATCTTTTTTAAAAATTATGCACTATTCATTTGTGCGTCTGCTTAATACATCACTGAGCTAACCCCACAAACTAATTCTTAATATTTAATTATTACCAACATGTGAAGTTGATAGGGGTTTTTTTTAATGGATATGCTTGAAAATGTAGTTTTCTTTAATCTGACTCACTATGTGAAAAAGCAATTAAACCAGTTAAAACAGGCCTAAAACCAATAAAAAGCTAAAGAAACCCAGAAACTGTAAGACACCTCCATCTTATCACTACCAGCGCTACCATAGATTATGTGATCGGTTTGGTTCTGAAAGTTATACTCACTCCTGAGACTGTCTTTTAGTTAGTTTTATGGCTTTTTCTCAATACATTTGCTAGCTTAGGTCTCAGTGTCTTTCAGACACAAACTCTAATAATCTTCCAAGCCTAAAGTCTTCTTTCTATCCTTGAGACCTCAGCCACTCTGAACTCAAATGTGTTGTGGTATCCCACGTCAGTAAAGCTGGGGTGCATTCTGCAGCCTCAGGCAGCAACACTAACCCCAACTCCAATCTAACATTACATTCCACTGCTCTGGGTCAGGTCTGGCACTGCCTTCATTGCCTGCATCTCCTGCTGCGTGCATTCTCACAGCCCAAATGCTGCCCTGGCTGTTACAATTGTATCAGTTTCTCTGGTGAGCACTCAGCACAGACCCAGCTCAAGTACTGCTCCTTCACATGTTCTGCCTGCTATGACCATGATGAATCTGGCATGCCATTCCTAACCAGATTGAGAACACCTTTGATAGTGGTAATGGTTTTTTCAGTCTTAATTACTAATTTTGAACAGAACAATACACAGTACTCTCAAGCTTTCATGGGCCCAAATTAAGAAGTTGAAACCCCTGCCTTCACTTGCCAGGCCCAATTTCAATTACAACCTCAACCCAACCTAGCACCAGCTAAAACTCCAGCTCATAACTCTGGATCCTAAAAGACAATACCTACACAGACATAGTTTTCATGTTTGTACTGTTTCATCTGTAAGCTGTATCCAGAGCCTTCTTGACTTAAAATAGAACAGTAAAAATTACAATCTGCCTCAAAGTTTCTTCCTAAATATATATACTTACTTATAGGTCAGAAACTGAACTCAGGTTTGTTTGTTCTTGACTGATAAAGCAAGATCTATTTACTTTTGTCATTCAGTAACAGTGATAATAAAAGTGTGAAACATTTGTAATTGCATATAGAATTCATAGACTATTACTAGGACTGGGTCAGAGGAACATCTGTCTTTAAGGAGGTGAAAAGAAGCGTACAAACACTTTAGGGTTCCCTAATTCTTATGACTGCTCTAAGAAAAGGCTAAAGTCCTGCTGCATGTCAAAGAGTAACCCAGTAAGATAATCAATTTGTATTTCTCTTCTGGTCCTTAGAATTAAGAATATTTGCTCCAACACCCCAATCAGACACAAGAACACTGCTGCTAATTAATGTTTCAATTGCTTTTACAAGCTTGTAAGTATGACTTCTTAAATAAGTGTCTAAACTAGAACTGTCATAGAACTACATTACAGATTACATATTATCAGAGAAATTAACTTACCTTTTTGTTTATTTCCAGCATTCCAATGAATGAAAGAGGCAAAACTTGGAATACAGCAAGATAAAACAATACATTCTGTTGGATTCCTGCCTGGGAAGGAACAATACTGAACACAGTTATTAAAGGTAGGACATCTTTATCTTCTTCCATAATAACCAAGTACAATGTCCCCATCTTTATGCTTGTAAATTTTTTTTGATCAATGTTGTAAAAGTTACAACACTTACCTGCCGTGCTGCTGCAGGGAGCTTATTCTGAGCTGACTTTACAATCATTACCTCTTGAGGAGTATCCCAGCTCAGATACCTGTTTGTGACAAGAAAGGCCTGCCTTAACCACATAAAACCCATTTATTAATGTATTATTTCACATAAAATATAATCAACTAAGCAGATGTCTGTGCCCAGGGAAACTTGACTATTTGATTTGGAAGAGGGGCTGCTTGCAATAAAGCAGAAATCCATGGAACTAGGAATGACTTATTTCATACAGGATTGTGAGAAAAATTAGTGAATATTCACACTTTCCAATCTTAATTTTTCTCCTTTCCTTTATAATCACCACTTTCCTATCCTTCAGCCTAACGAAAATATTTTCTGAAAACCAAAAAAAAGAAGCAGTTTACCAGAAGCAGTAACTGCCCTGCTTTAAAAGAGAAATATGGCTACCCTATGGAAAAGAACCTTTGCAAATTAACAACAGCTCAGACTTCGAACATATTGTTTGTATGTTTGATCAGGTTTGTTTTTCAGCTCTTAAAGTCCTCTGCTGGCATGTTGCCATTGCAATACTAAAGGCTGTAAAGCTGACAGAGAAAAGCAAATAGTAGGCTAGGTTTTGTGGAACTTGATACCAAATTTGACAGCATAATACTAAAGTAGATGAAATTCTTCTACAAGGAAGAGCATGCAGGAAAAGTACTCCAGGTAATGGTTGAGATTAACAAGCCTGTTGTCAGCCATAGGGTAGTACGAAAATAACATGATTCCCCTTCTCCTCTATAGCACTAATCACTGTTAATTATATTAAGCTCTCCTTCTCCACTATACTACTACTGACTGTTAATGGTATAAACCCTAGTTGTTAATACCTGAAGAATTTGCAACAGGAACCAGCAAGATACACTTTTTCCAGTACTTCTCCACTATCAGCAGAGAGACGTAGAAGCCAGTTCTGTGCTGTCAGGACTATCAGGGAAGGTTTATAATCTGATGGACTTGGTAGCATTTCCCCCTGCATAAAAAAAAGGCTATTAGAAATAAGGTTGTATCAGGAGGATGCAAAACATTTTGACAGTTTGAAGAACATGAATGTAAATACACATTCCTCAAAAACTGAAGGAGGCAATCTGCCTGTTAATCAGATCAGTATCTCTAAGTTCATGTCCACGTCAAGTAATTACCTATGACATAAATAATCAGCTGTCACACTTTTTGCAAGACAGTTACCTTTTCTAGAAGAGGCACCCTTTAAAAAATCTTTTCCTTGCAAAAGTTAACTGCTTATTGATCTAGTTGATATCAATCTTGAAGAGAAAATTGTTTAAGTGTTTCAAAAGAAGACATTCAGTGATAACAGCAACTGCTACAAATGTTACTTACACTGCTTTAGTTTTAGGCACCTCAAAGATAGGGCTAACATTTCTAAGATCTGTGGACGCTGGGTGAAGGAGAGAAATGATGCAATTATCAGGTAGAAACAGTAGAAGAGTTTTTGGGCAGGGTCATTTCAATGGGCCTCCAGTGTATCTGCTTTTTGGTTTTTTTAATGTCAGTGGATCTGAAGAAAACTAAAACTCCCAGCTACTGTGCTTGTTATTTAAAAATAAATAAAAATATAAGTAGAATTTATTTTGTAAGGAATTAAGAATTAATTGCATAAGAATAAAAGCACTGGTTTTAAAATCTTCCACGATAGCTTATGAAAAAAAGATTTGAATGCACTACTGAGAAATTCAGAAGAGTATACCTCTAAATGTTCAGTTAATGTAAATAAGGCACGTGTTGCAAACCTTTAATGACTGAACTCTTTAAGAACATTGAGAAAATCATTTGGAAAGAAAAAGCACTCCATTCTAAAGGTTTCATCAAAATATATTAATTTAGTATTTTGCACAAAAATGTTCTAGTAAAAAGTAATCTTACCAATGGGCATTCCAATAATAAAGCATCTTCTATTTTTTCAGACTTGGCGGTACACTTTGCCTTTTGATAAATTAGTCTTGGCTGCTGTGCAATGCTAGAGGAAAATGATTGCTAATCATTAGTCTGTTTTATAGACCACTTTTTATCAAAAAGTCATTTCATACAGTTTTATAGGTCAGAAACCTAAACATCTTATTTTTACTTTGTAAACATACCTGAAATTGCTCTCAAAATAAGGCCTAATAAACAATAGTTAATATAATGTAATATATTAAAGCTAACCTTCTCTAAATCTTTTGGTCTGGTTGCTTTTTTTTTGTTTTTAGTTTCGGCTTTTAGTTTTGGGTTGGTTTTTTTAAGTAACAACCTTAATAGTAATGTTCTTGCTCTAGTGATATACATTAAGAAGAAAGCATATTTCAGAAACTAATGATCATCCTGGAACCTTCCCCTCAGGTTCTTCCAATGCTGCCTTTTACAACAAAGGTGCGGCATCATGTCCAGATATTTTAGAAAAAACCTTTACTAATTAAAATTGATGCTGTTTGGGTTTTGCCAGTTTTCCTTTTATACATTCACTGTATTCTTCACACAGATACTTGTGACTCTGTCACCTATTGTATTAGTAGCTAGTTCTCCCAGTACTTTTCCATGGCCTTTCCCTAGGCAGAAAGACAAATTCCAGAGCTCCAAGCTCTGGGAGGTACAAGGCCCCAGTGCTATCTTGCTTCTAGCTGGGAACCAAGGCTGAGAACAACAGCTGAGATCCATTCTCATGGACAAAGTACAACTAGTGCTGAAGGGGGGACTCCAGAGAGGGGGCTTGACCTGGGGGGTGGAATTACATCACCCCTTGTCCTCCTAACTGCGGCTTTTTATCAATTATGCTAATTTCCTAAAACCTATAAATGCGTACTTATCCCTGTAAGGGCTTTTGTGGACATCTTTCTATAACTGCCCCTGAAGGCCTTCATTAAAGAACACCTTCTTATTACCTCCTTACTAAAATTATCTTGAGTTTCATTTCCAGGTTGGGAAAAAGGCAACAAAATAAAAGCTTTGTACTGTGCACAGTTTTGCCCTCTGGGAGAGGATGAGACAGAGGAAAACCTGAAAGATCTTAGACAGGTTAACCCAGTACTAAAAACATTGAGACAATGTAGGAATAAAAGCAGATTTAGATCTCAGCTGTGGATGACAGATTAATTTAATTGACTCCTAGTGGTTTACCCTGACAGACTAGTTTGTATTTTATGTATCATATGACACTATGTCAAAACTGCTCTGTCCCCATCTTCCTCAGCATTGCAGTTCTCCAGGTCCATGCTACTTCCCTCACAGTAGGGACAGGCAAGGACAAGGGCTGCTGCACACAGATTTCCTGTCCTCTACCCTCCCATGTGCTGCCTCCTAACCTGTCTCTGCAACTGATGATGGAACAGAATAATATATTAGATCAGAAAATTGATCTACAAAATACATTTGCAAAAATTAACATGTACTGCAGGCTGTACTTTTGCATGAAAAATAATTTATTATTTTATACAGAATTCACATAGTACCAAGTTTGTTACATAGGCTAATTCAGTGACACACTCTTTAGTTGCCAGACTACAAAGAACTACTGTTCATTTGGCTTTTAGTGAAAAACTAGAAAGTTGTGTTAATCTTCCATTCCTGCTCTGAAAGCTGAGGTTATACTGCACCTGAAAGATCAGGCTTTCTTTGACCAAAGTAGGTGTCACATTTAGATATAACAGCATCTAAATGTAATGCAAATATCATGAGCCAAAGATTTCTCACCTGCTTATTTTTTGTTCCCAAGTAAACTCCATTTAATTCTCAGCAGCTATGAGTCAAGTTAGCAATATAACACAGAATAAGTCTCAAATCTGTAAGTCAGTACCTCATAATTGCAAATTTATTACCTGGTAATACAGCATTGGTAATTGTCCATGTAAATTCTTCCTCTTTCATATGCAATAGGAGATGCAGAATGAGTTGTCCAAACATTCTTGAATTTAGTACTTTCCTGAAACACAATAGTTTTAACATGGATGGCTATTTGTAACAAACTTTGCTTCTGAAAATATTTTCTTTGGCTCCTGCAACTTAGTAACTTATTTTAATTAAAACTTTACTGCTGAATACACGAGAAAGAATCTTACTTGGTTTTTATAAATGAAATTTACAGACCTTTTATAATAAAATGTTGTCTTTTATAAAGACCAAATTAAAAATTTTTTAATGAGCTATTATGGACAGCAGCAGTAAGGAATATTTTGTCATTAGCTTGCCTGTATTAAAAGTGGCAACTAAACTTGCATAGTGACTTTTGAAATCAAGGACTAAACTCCCCAGAGTATAAATATGCAGAGAATTCTTTTATATGTAATTAATTTTATTTATTGAACACTTAATTCCATTCTGCTGGTGGTGTTTGGTGTGAAAGACAGAAAAATGTATTTACCATACTTGCAATAAGCACCCAGAACATTAAAGAAATAAACTGCTCGCAATAAAGTTTCTTGTCTGCATTTGAGATATCAGAAGATCTATACCATTAACAAAGGTTCCAGTCTTGAAAAAAGTAGTGTAAGTCAGATGTAATTATTGTTATTTCAGTAAACATTGCATGCCTATTGATCTAGTTACATAAGCAGACACTTCAGCTGACTTCCAATAAATGTATTTTCAATATAATTGCCAATTCACTTCCACATTCTTTTCTACTATATTTCTATCAACTACTGCATGGAAGCAGAAATTGTTTTGACTAAAAAAAAAAAAAGTTCAGTTTGTAATTGGTTTAATTCCTACTTTTTCTGTAACATCAGTTTCACTGAGAACTGGGGTTACATTTACCTGAAAATCTCTGCCATTTATCTTATTATGTGAACTCCTTCCAAATTCAACATGAAGCACTAAGAATTTAAGGTTAGTATTAAATATGAAGCCATCCTAGGGAAATAGGTGATAAAAATAAGCTTTTATGAGATTTTATAACACAATTATTAGATACAGAAGGGCCTTTGCAGTTCTTGCCTAGCACAATCCTTTCTAAATTTCTAGGTCTGAGCCTTGTGAAATATTTTTAACCATTACTCTGTTCATCAGAACTGCACCTTTTTTCTCCCCAGACCCGTTGTCCAGCGTGACCGGGGCCTCTCGAACACCTGGGCTGGGGACAGACGCTCACCCTGGGCTGCAAGGCGAGCCCGCGGGCTGCAGCAGCGCCGAGCGGCCGCCTATTACCTGACACATGATCCTCCTCAGGAGTCCCAGGTTCTTCCTGTGGGCCACACCAGCATCTCTGGCGTAGAAGCCGTGGGCCCTGCGGCTGAGGAGGCGGCACACGTTGTGCACCCCGCACGCCCGGAGGGCGGCCCTGCCCCCGCCGGCGGCCGCCTGCGGGCATTTTCTCGGCCCGCGGGGCGGGATCGCCTTTCTCCCCCGCTCCAGGCTCGCTCTAGGCAGGGCGTGCAGCCTTGCAGGCCCAGGCCCGCGCCGGCTCTATCTCAAACCCCCGCCCTTGCCCGGCGAGAGGTAAAGCGAAGCGGGAAGAGGCCCGAACGGCCCCTCGCTGCTCGATTCCCGAGCGAAGCGAAGCGAACCGAGGCCTTCTACGGCGCTGCCCGCCCCGCGCTTCCCCGGCCGCCGCAGCTCCGGTTTCCGCAGACGCTGGGCGGGGACTGCCCTGCACCGCCTCTCCCGCGGCCCGCCGGGTACTGTAGTTTTTCCGGGAGCGGAATCGCGCGGCCCGCCCGGACTTCACCTCCCGCCGCCGCTCCCGGGCGGGTCGCGTGGTGCCCGCGGGTGGCGGCCAAGCGGGGTCAGCGTCCCGTACGGGAGCGCTGCGGCGTAGGCGCTGATAAGGCACCGCTCCGAGGAGCGGGCAGGAGCAGGCGCTGTGCAAGGCTCGGTGAGAATCGCCGGCAGCGGCCGCCGACCGGGACCGCGCAGCCGCCCGCGCTCCACGAGCTCTGCCGCGGCCGCGCTCCCGCCCATCCTGCGCTGAGGGATGCGGATGCTCGACGCGCGGGGCGTGCAGATGGAAACATTTTACCCATTGTGTTTTCAGTTAAATCAGGAAAGTTTTGCTAGTGGTCGCTAGTTAAGGAAAAGTGGGGACTGGTATCTTCTTTTTATAAAAATATTCCTGCTACAGAGCTCAGCGTTCGGGGTTGGGCGCGGGGCATTCGCGGGAATGCACGCCCGGCCTGGCACCTGCGACCTTTGGGCACCCGCCGTGAGCCTTTTTGGGTACGGCAGTGCGGGATTGAGTGTACCCGGACCTGGGGGAAAGGTTAAGGGATTGGTTGAAACCCGTTTAAAACTCCAAGGTCAACAGAAACTTCTTAAGATGTATGACACTTCATTTTTGTATTTTTAGAGCTACGTCCACAAATGTCGCGATCATCAATCTCTACTTCATCAATCTCTACTTGCCAGCAGAGCAACTGAAGTCTGCGGACAGACTCGTTTCTCTTCCTTGCCAGAGGCCAAGCGCCCAAATGGGGTAATCAAAAGTTGCTGATGTTTTTGCGTGCCCATATCTATTCTTCAGGGTCTGAGTGGAACGTTGAATCTTCAATGATAGTGAGGGAAAGAGAGAGTCCTTTAAATTTCTGGTGCTTTGCAGTTATTGCTTGCAGGGAGCTAAACACAAACACAATGGTTGCAGTTGCTCCTTCAAAGAGTTATTAGGGCAGTAAGTGGAGCATACAACAACAACAATGGATTTGCAACATTGCCAGTGACTTCAGAGCTGGCAAGGCAGGATGTAGCTCACCAAAGTACACATGGACATCCAGAGTCCTGCAAGAATGTAAATGGATGATGTTCTTGAATATAAATTGTAGACAGTAGTAAAATTCATGCTCCTCTATCCCGATTCTCGTCATCTTCAATAAAAAACCCCATAGTTTGTGTTGAGACAAATCATCTTTTGTTAGGCAATACATTTAAATATTCAGTATTTTGTAGATAATATATTTAAAATAGTTTAAGTGATTGCATTTGGAGGTTTAGATGTATCTTGCAAGTAGGTGTATACACATGTAAAGTCTCAATACCTTTTTTTCTTTCCTTTTCTCTCTTTCCGTGTAAGTAGCAGCCAGCAGAGGGTGTGCAGGGTAACGAGGAGCCCTTTGATTATCCAAGTAAATGTTTCCAGTAAACCCTCAGGATTTATCTCCCCTTCTCTCTCATTGCATAAACCATTTCCTCTTTGCTCAACTATTTTTAACAGACTACCTCACTAGTGGAAGCTTGTGGAAGAGCAGGCACTTCTCAGCACATGTATATGTGATTAAAGTCATATCTGGTGGTGGGGCAGGTTTGTTTACTTTTATCTGCTTTGCTTTTTAACTAATTTTAACTTTGTTGTCTCTATAGGAATCCAAATAAATAAAAATAATTTTTCTTTTGTTTTTCTTTTCCCTTGGGAGGCACTGCTCTGCAGCAGTTTTACTGAAGTTACTATATGCTCACAGGGAGGTCTGCATTGTTCCTGGTGCATGAGAAAGAAAAAGAGTTGAAATTTTTAAATCTGCTGAGTTTGAGAAGTTGTGAAATACCCTGTTATTTCAAATGTGCATTATTTTTTGGAAGTATATAATTGAAAAACTAATTATGACCCCTAAGAGGGCGTGATTAATCACTTGGTCAAGTAGAATAGGATTAAGCATTCAGTTAATGAGTGAGTCTGGTTGACAGTAAAGTCACCCCCACCAGACTGGAAATATTAAGAAATATTAAGAAATATTAATATGTATGTCTTTTAAAAATAACCACTGGTAATTAATAGTTCTACCTTCTGTGTTACCATTATCTTGAATTTTCTTTTCCTTTCTGTCCCTGATTGCCCCTTGCCACTTGTTTAGTGTAAGGTGTTTTGGGTTTTGGTAGTGTTTGATGGTGATAATACAGATTAGCAAGGCTTTACAGAAGAGCATTGGGGATTAATGGTCAAATGTTGTCTAGATAAGCTTCTAGGTACCAAGCAGAAGTAAATGTATGAAGTGAATTGTTTCCAGAATACTTTTCTGTCCAGGAATGTAACAAAAGCTGCACATACTGTTCCTAATATAGGCTATTTTTGTCTTTATAACAAAGACTCTACAACTAGTAGTGTAGCTTTGTTTATTCAGCATAAACAGAACAAGATGACTGGGGATAAAAGCATTATATAGTCAACCTAGGAGAGTTGGAGATGGAAGAAGTTGTTAGATTTGTAGTTGGAGACTGGTCAAATGGCAAAATGTTCTCATGTTCATTAAATTAGGTTCTTGGACAAAAGTAGCAGGTTATTTCTGTTCTTTTTGTTTGGTTGTTTTTTTTTTTTTTTTTCCCTCTGACATCTCTCTTAGAATAGATACTTTTAAAGAATTTTACTCATCAGTTAAGTGGTTTACAAATGTTTTGGGGTATAATTCACTGTTAAAAAGATCTTAGAGCAGTGCTTTTCTCCTGTATCTAATTTTTCTTCTATGGCTGTGACTGCTCAGGGTTTTAATGGCAACATCAATTAATTTAATGCCAACTTCAGGTCTGGCTAGCAGTTGATGTGTGTACATTCTTCTGCATGTTCACCTGCAAAAAACTGTATTAAAGATGCTGTGTTTGCTTGTTTCTGAACATTTCTCAGTTAAACTGAGGACCTGATCTGCAGTTGTAACAGTGACAAAGCTGCAAAGTTTAAAAGGCAGTGCTCCATGGGGAAACAAAGTTGCTCTTCAACAGTGTTATGAAGCGTGTTGTTTCTTTAAGGTTTTTTTTTCTGAAAAATAGTTATGCTGCTACAAAATTTAATAATTTTTATTGTAATTCAGTTTTATTGTAATTTCCTTAAAGATGAAAGTTGAGTTCTTTGATTAATAATCAAACCTAAAGTATTCCTGTCTGACTGTGAACAGGGAAAGAACTCCTAATTCTTTCAGGCAACATTTCTTAATGTCATAACTTCAGGATATGATCATCTTACCTGATAAAAAGAAAGTGTTTGCCTGTTTCATTAACAAACTTCAGTTAAACAATTGAGCAATGACTCCCTTCAGAAAATGGAATTCAGGCTTAAAAGTGATTTAATGCATTTTGAGCTTTTAGTAGCCATGTTGCCAACTAATCTCATGATCTGTGGATGACTTATAACTCTCAGGGATGTCCATGCATGTCTCAAGGGAGTTCATTCACATTTAACATAGATTACAACAGGAAACTTCCTCACTTACCCCACTTGCCTTACGTTTTCAGAATTTATCTGCTAAAATTGTTCAGCTATCACTCAAAGGCTCACTTTTTCATAGAAAGGCTTGCATATCTGGATTTTACTGATGTAAGACCATCTTAGTCATCTGACTGTAGTTCCCATCTGTGCATCTTTTCATGTTCTTATTGAGATATTTAGAAAGCCAAGAAAAATTATGTGACTAGCCTAGCAGCTGAATCATTGTATTTTATGGTGAATATCAATGCTGGCACAGGAAATGCAAGATACTAACTCAGGTTTTTTCAAATGATTGAGGGAGGAAGAGGATTTGTAAACAGTTTGCAGTGTAATAATGGAATCTTTATCCAAGCATTGCTGTAATTTAATAATAATAATTTTGGATTGTGGTTTTGGGGTTTTGGAGGACTTTCTCTTTATTTTTATTTTCAATAATTTTATTTTTAATTGCCTTTATGTAAATTACACATTTTGCAGAAATTTTCATGATGCCTTAGTTTTCATGTATAATAATTACTATTTCATTATATCCCATATATGTTAATAATTATGGATTATTTATTAAAAATGCATGCATATTTTCAAATAAAAACCATTAAAAAGTTGTAGTAATTGAAGTATAAATTGGAAGAGTTTTGGTTGCTGAGCCTCATTTCAAAAAAAAAAAACCAACCACAATAAACTCATTAAAATTAGAAGAAGTTTTGATTTTTTAAATAGGCCTAAATGTTACATTTTCACTGTATGGCAATGCTTCTCTGTCATGCTAACATTAGAGTCTCAGTAGCCAAAATTAACAGTGGTTTTATTTGGCATTGTCAACCATAAGGCAAACTCCATTTTATTTAAACTTCGACAAATAAAAAGAAATTTTTATCTTTTTTCCTTTTTTTTTTCTGTAGGCTTAAAATGAATAAACAATGCCCTTTTTAAATAATGACTCATTCAAAAGTACATGATTAATGAGGAATTGTTAATTTAATTGAAGTGATTCCTTTGCCAGTCATTGTATTGATGTGTACAGATTAATAATTTTCAGTTCACAGTACAGAACTTGTGATCAAATGCCACTATTTACCTCGAGATAGAAATCTTTATTTTGCAACCAATTTGCACAGAATGTTTTCTAGTAGTGTCTTGTGCCTGTTCTCTTGTAACTATGTTTTGGATTTCCAGTGCATTAAATATCTATGTGTGGTTTTTATGGAAGCAGCACTGCAAAAAAAAAAAACAGAGAAAAAAAGGCAGGATAAAATAGGACTTAAAATAATTTTAAGGAAAAAAGGAACAAAAGCCCATCAGGGTAAAAGTATTGGGGGGGGTGTTTCATTTTCCTCATCTCATAGAAATCTTACATTAACAAGAATATGCGAAAAACCCACCAAAAATGCTGATACTAGATACACACACTTGTTTTCTTTCATTATTGACCCCTTATGAAGATATTGCTGTGTTTTACTTTACTTGGAATATAAGATAAAATTATGCATGTAATAGAAAAATCTTTATCACTTTATAATTTCTATTGATAGAAATGAAACGTATAAAAATTACATTTCAAAGACAGCAGCGAACAGAGATCAGGAGAATAAATGGCAGAAATGTTGGAAAGCTTTATGTGCACTGTGTTTACACTTCAAGATATTTAATTTCCTATTTACAAGCATAAAACCATAGTCATAGTTCCAGAGTGAAATCTTTTGAAAAAAAATGAGTGGGGTGGAAAATGTCAATTTTGCTGACAGTATGTACCCACTAGAAGAAGTGGCTTCTTTACTGATCATTTCTTGCTTGCATTTGTAAAGGTACAGTATCAGTCTTGGGTTATTGTTTTACTGTGTATTTCTTTTCCTTCCCCTCTCTGACAGGACTTTGAAATGATACCAGGTAATTTATCTTTTGACTGGTTTAATTCCAGTAGCCTACTTTGGGATTATTTGGGCTTTCAGCACACTGAGGGGATGTTGCCATTTTCTAAAAAGCATTTGAATTGATATTTTAGTAAATAATTTTTAGTAAATCTCGTTCTTGGCTATTTGACCAGTCTCTCATGTAAGTGACATAAATAGTTGCATAACTGCAAAACTGTAATTTGAGTTAAATGTGTTCTCAGGTCTCTCAACACAACAAACTTCATTACAAGGCTTTCTGCTTTATGTCTGAGGAAAACCAAGATGCAACACAGGCACCAAAGTAACAGACGACCAACGGTTCCACTCGGATCACGGATTTTAACTGATCCTTCTAAGGTCTTTGAGCATAACATGTGGTGAGATGTTTCTTCAAGGATCATTTTCATATAATTTTGTATGCTGTTTACTCTGATATAATGGGGTAGGTGTATAAAACAAGGTGCTGCCAGAATAGGCACATGAAGGAAGCACTAGAGGAAATCTGAGATTGTCACAAGTGACCTGTGTTAAAAGCTGCCCAGCCGATAGTTAGTCAAGGAGTGAAATGCAAATATTATTAGGGATCAGTAATCAATTAGGAGACAGAGGATCTAGAGATAAGATAGTCCATGTTATTTAAAATGGCAGAAAGTTTCTAGGTACAATACATTGCATACTGGATTAGCTCCCTAATGCTTACCACTTTCAGGCTAAATTTGGAGCTGGCTATACTTCCTTGGTCAAGGGAGCTGGAAGCTGTCTGATCATTGTGTTAAGAGTGTGAAGTTTGTCTCTGTGTTTCATAAATCTACATGCAGTGTAGTTCTTAAGCATCTTCCAGGCATAATGCTTCCTGCTAGGTGGATGAATCCTTTACATAAAATGTAAAATCAGGTGTAAATGCTGATTGAAATGTAGGCTATATAATCAAGGGAGGAAAAGATTTTAAGAAAAGGACCACCCTTTTCCTGTAACATTGTTTTTTGATGAAACTCTGTCTGTTTGTTTGTTTTATAATTTCCTTCCAAAAAATTGGTCATGTGTAGCTTCAGTTTTACCTGCTACTATTTGGTGACAGTCTAACACAGAGTGACCAAGCTTTGATGCAGGTGGTTGGAATGGATTGTGAGGATGGAAGTGAAGAAACAGGGTTGTTCAGAAAGTGGATCTGCAGATGAATCTGTGTAGCTCAGGTGGGAAAACAGGTGAAATTGAATTGAAGCAGAGGTGCATGGAAGTTGTGAAGGTCTTGATAAGTCAAGAACCTGGCTGTGCTGGCGGTTAGGTCATTGTTTCTGAAGCTCATTGCATTGGCAGGGTTCTCACTAGGGAGATAAGGAGAATTAGGATGTGGTGGTAGTGCTAAATAGATTATACAGGGTGAGCATAAGATATTTGTCTTCTCTAACATTGATGTATGATGTCCTTTTGTTTTCCACTCATCATCTTTGTTAGTTCATAAAATGGCATTCTTTTTGTGTGAATTGGCAGAGAGACAAGAGCTGCTACCATTGCTGCTAGAAATACTAAGTAAATTAAATTTGGGAACTAATGCTTTAGATGTCTATTGTGGTGCTTTTCTGTCATTTTGAGAGAGAAGTAATGAATGATGCTAAACACTGGCAAAAAAATGCCTGCTTCTGTTCAGGTCAGTAATTGAACCAGTTTTTACATTATCACAGAGATAATTAAACCCTAAGTTAGCAAACAAGGTAGCAGAAAAAGACTAAGTTGAATAGGCTGAACTGAAAGCAGCATTGTTTGATCTCATATCAGGCCTACTCATGTTAACAGTTCCTGGTGTGGTTAAAATGGATAGCTTCCTTTGCTGCCTCAGTGTTCAGCTTAAAACACTTCTGTATTTAAACACTTCTGTGCCTGGAATTCTTATGTGTCCCGTGTTCCCACCAGCTAGTGTTGCTGAAGGAGCTGCCTCATGTGAAGCATCTATGATGTAAATAATTGCTGTAAGAGCTATGCAGTGACCCCTCTTTTGTAGACTTTGATCAAGAAGTGCTGCAGCAGTACTATTTGGGATCTACCATATGGAAATTTCAACAAAAGCACCAAAAGGAGCTTTATGAATTTCCAAGGAGGGGGAAAAAAAAGAAAAACAAAAGGCGGTTAATGATGATGGAGGGCTTCAGGCACCTTTAGTATTGTGTGTAGAGCCCCTGAGGGCTCTGACAGACACACAGTGATGGATTAAAATTGATCAGCTAAAGATTACAGAGCAGCAAGTCATCTGTCAGAAGGGCTGACTGTGTATTATTGCCATCTGAATAGTCCTTGGTTTCAGCTTGCTGGAATAGGCAAGGTCAGCACTGGTGATAGCAGTGGGGGAAGCAAGTCTTTCCAGGAGGATGTCTGCCTGGCAGTGCTGCGGTCACTCCGTTTCGTTCTACTGCAGCGTGTCTGTCAGAGCCATGACACTGCACAGCAACATTTGGTATATGAACAAACACAGGAAGGGGAGAGGCAACCTGCTGGGGACAATAATGAGAAATATTTCAGTAGAGAGGCGGAAATAAGTCTGAGGCAAGCAGACAAATACATACCAATTAGTCTCCCACAATTAACAAAAGAGGAACAGTGAAGGTCTAGGAATTAAATTACCTATATGTCACCAACTACGGAAAAGGAAGATGCTCATTAGCTTTTAGAGACAATCAACTCTTTTCAAGTTGGCACCTTCTTCCTTTTCCCATAGTAACCAATGGAATTTTAGTCTTGGGCTTTCACTTAGCTCATTTCAGTAGGATTAGGATCTAATAGATTACTTGAATTATATTATCTAATTTAATCTGTTCAGACTGGACAATTTGGAGGGACAGCTGATTGGCTTTTGAAACCATCCTGCAGCGCATTTTTGGGTACTCCCCATTGTGGTCTGATCCAAACCAGAATCTGCAGGGAAGGCAGTTTAGTGCTCAGGGTCAGATCTGGGCTTGGTTCTGTGATCATGGATTAACATAACATTTAGGTAACCACTGTACACAAGTAAAGATGGCATAGACTTGGGAAACATTGCAGCACTGCTGGACTTGTCTCATTCTGTTTGTTTGGTTTTTTTTTTTAATATTACCTATCTCTGTTCCTCAGAAAAGTAAAATCCTGTTTATCAATTCCACCTGTTCCAATTGAATAGGTGGATTATGCTCCCTGTTTCAGAACAGCTGATTTCTTTGCTAGTCCTTAGTTCCTCATCATAAACACTATTAATGTGAGGTGTTTCTTGCATTAGGGTGTTTGTTGGTAGGTCTCTTATTGTATTCAGCTAAATACAGTTCTAATGGACACTCAAAATACACTCCTGTAAACACACTCAATTTGTAAGATACATATAATCCTGATATTAATAAAAGAAATACATGCTACTTCAGTCTTTTGGCAGTTGGAACATGTTTCTTAATCACTTGACTTTTACTTAATTGGTAATTAATTTTTATCTATCATACACTGAAACTTAGGTTTTAACTGTCAGTCTCCTTGTGGTCATTTGCTTGCACTCAAAAATAAAAAAAAAGGTATTTGAGACAGTGTAGCTAATTCATGACTATTTTTCCTGGGAAAAAATATTATGAAAAACCCTATTGAAAAGCTGTTGCTTCAATTGCCTTCTGCAGGGACCACATGCAATGGTCACAAGAAGAAGAAGAGAATGCCAAGAAAAAAGCAACAGAGAATTCTCTTGTGAAAGTTCAATCAGAAGACCAAGGTAACAAATTTCAAATGGTATAAAAATTTTTTAATGCTCTTTATTAAAATAAATGAAGATTCATAGAGTTCAGGAACATTTTTTTTATTTCTGCATTCTTTTAACTAAATTTTTTAATTTGTTTTTTTTTCCTTTGTTGCCTCAAAAGAACTCCCAGTGTGTTTTTCCTAACAGTACAGTCTCTTATTTGAACAGTTTTACAATTGGGGTGGCAGTGGACTCTATGTAAAACACGTGCATCAGGATGGTGCAGTTGTTCTGACCCGTTTTGCAGTCCTCCAGAATACAACTTCTACTACACAAGGCTTTTACAGAATCAGAGGGAATGAATTTGCGATCAGCTAGAGTGCTGGAGATGAAGATTCCCATATACAATATTCAAATGCTTTCAGTGATTTGGGAACTATTTAGAGAGCTTGTGTTTGTTCATTGCACTGTATTTCTGTTAAATGCCATGCAAGTTGCAGTGGTCCCAGCTGGTCCCAGCTCGCTGCCTTTGCCAGGGAGTGCCTCAGGAGCCCATGTGTCCACTTTGTGTGGAAGGTGTTCCAATACATCCTCCATGGTCTGCTCTCTAAGGGATTGAGGAGTTTTGTGCCTGTCTTCAGAAGGAAATTTAATGTATTCTGGGTTTCTGAAGAGTGATAGCTCTAGTTTCAAACTGGCAAACTAAACCATAGACTAAACTCTAGGTTAGTTATGAATGTAAAGCTGGAATATCAACTTGATAGTAGCATAGAAGACTGGATTCTTCATTTATTCTTCTGTTTGGAGGATATGCTGAAAGTATATCACTTGGATATCTGTGCCTCAGTTTACTTGGCATGTCATGGATCTGCCAGATAGTGTTGTTATGATCCTATGTTGGAGTTTATTTGAATTACCTGAGAATGTGCCTTGCATTGTGTGCCCTTCATCACCTTGAATACTCTGAAATTGTCAGCCTGCCTTTCTCTGTTACCTCTCACATTCTTTATCTACATACAAGAGTTCAATGCTTGTTTTTCAAAAATTTAATCTAATATATTAACTTTATTTGTACAAAAAGCTGAAAAAGAGCTTGTAATTGAAAAGTAAGCTGTGTGGCTGTGTGCTCATGGAATCTTGCATTCTTCATCTACAATCAATTAGAAGTTAGTTTGTGCTGGTGAGAAATGGAATAATCAGGCTTTTGGCTATTGCCATGAAACACAAGAATCCAAGGACATTTCTTATGAATGCCCCTCTGTTTAGAGTTTGAATAGGTGAGCATTGCTGATAGTGTTCCTTCAGAAAGCTTCAGCTTCATTCTGCCAATGGAAGTACATTTTGGCCTATTTGTGTAAACAATGAACTAGACCAAGGCTAATGAGCAGGTTATTTTTGGGCCTTGAAAACTACAGTGAGGGGAAAAAAGACAGATTTCACCAATGCTATTATATTACTGAAGTAGAAGAGCTCTGATGAGCCTTTATAAAGCAAGAGCAGTGGAACTGAATGAAGTCATGATACTACATTTAGGAATTTGATTTCCATATTAGCATGTGTAGTTTCTTCTCAGGCATGCTTGCTGGCAGTTGAAGATCGTGTTATGTAGAAAAAATTGATTGACAAAGTAAAGGTTTTTTGGTTTTTTGGTTTGTTTTTTTTTGGTGGGGGGTTTGGTTGTTGTGGTTGGTGGGTCTTTTTGTTTGGTTGTTTTTTTTTTTTTTTCTTGGGAGTTTTATGTTTTTAAGTTATGCAATTTTTACATGCTTTGGAATATTTTGTGGGTAGGCTAATTAAATGCACAAAATGAAATAAAAATTTGATACTGCATGCATGTTATTACACAGAGATGCAGGAATGCCCAGTGCAACAATGCAAAATAAAGTGTTCCTTCACTTAAACCCATGTCATTCCATACTAATACAGTTTGAAAGGCTGACTTTAGCTATTTCTTTCCTTCAGTTCTGAAATCTGGAAAACTTGATGTGAATTTAAGTTCAAGAGTTCTGAGCAGACTTGTAAGAAAATTGTGACTATATCAAGGGGTGGTAATAATTAAAGAGTCTTTTGACTAGAATGGTTTTGCTTTTCATACTGAAGCTGAGCAATCTATAAATGCAACTTAAACTATTGAAATCTGATATATATATATATATATATATATATATATATGACCTCAGTCAACTGTGAACTCTTAATATAAAACAGGTCTGTACAATTACAATTACAGGGCTGGGTCCTGCCCTTTAATAATACAACTGGATGTATTAAATGTTAATTTTAAAACATTATGCAGATTTCTAGGACAAGGCATTCTGCCACCTCCTTACCACTTCCCACTGCCTGTCTGTGCCTCTAATGATAATTCTCAGCCTTGTTTATCTCTGAAAAGCTGTAGCAATTTAGGAAATAATATGTTAAGATTTAAAGAGAGTAGTAGAAGTGCACTGTACATTTACTCTGTACATTTATATTAAGAGAATTAATGAGTTGGTATGAGTGAGAACAAAACAGGAAAGGCAGCACATTATATGAGGTACACTTTTGCAGCAAGAGATGTCAGGGGTAGCAAGATAGTTCTGCAAATGCTTTGGAAATAAGGGGGAAAAACAAGAAAAAAATTTTGTTTGGTACTTAGGAGGGATAAGGAAGGGAAAAGCATCAACAAAAGAGACATTGAAAAGCTGTAATTCTTATCTTTTTATCAGGCTTCCTTTGAAAGGGTTAGCTATCTCCAGTCCAGTGGCTAGCACAATTAGTGCTAGTGAGAAGGAGGAAAGATTTTGTTCTTGAAGTGAGAAAGAGCAGGTTACAAAGTACATCCATAGAGTACATGGATGAGTGGAAACGCAGAAAAGAAAATATTTGCTTTTTAAAAAAGGAGGTGGGAAAAAAATAAGAGTCAGATAATTGGTTTTAGTTTCTGGAAAAATACTGGAAGAGTACATCCAGAGCTTGCAGACGTTGGGTTCAGAAGAACAAAGGAGATGAATACTGGCCAACAAATATTTTTTCAAGGATAAATCACATAAAATCAAGCTAATTTTCTTCTTGGAGAAGGTTACAAGCCTTGGCCATAAGGGAAAAGCAGCAGATGTCCTGAAGTTTATCCTTAGTCAGGCTTCTGATTTGCTTTACTTGACATTTTCATAAGCAAGTTAGGCAAGTGAGAGCTAATGAAACTGCTCTTGGGTGAATGAATGCCTGGAGAGCCTTTCAGAATGGAAGGCTGTGCTGGGCAGAGGAGTGTTTTATTCTGTGTCCAGTTCTGCTTGGTATTTTCATTAGTGACCTCGGGAAATTAGAGACTTGAAGATGGTGTTAAGTGAAAATGTGTTTTAAGTATGGTGAAGGACAGGATTAAGATTCAGAAAGATTTGGACAAACATTGGAAAAAATAATCTGAAATATATAAATTTGCTAAAAATGAGTGCAGATTTCTTTGCTTCAGAATAATTCCTTGAGAAAAAAAACAAACTAGGTTTTGGAACAATTGGCTTGGTAGTCATTTTGCAGAAGAAGATCTGAGAGTTGTGGTGAATCACTAGCTGAATCAGCAGTGTCATGCTGTTGCAAAATGGCAAGCTGGGAGTTATAAACAGGATTACAACCTGGAAGCCTCATAAAATACTCCTTTTTCTCTGCAATTGTAATGCCTTTGCCAGAATAAAATACCCAAAGTAGTAAATCAATTGGAGAGAATCTAAAGAAAAATTGAAATTATCAGAAGTCTAAAAATCAAAAAGAAGAGAGTTAGTTTTAGACAATCTAGAAAAGAGATTGT